GCTCAATAGTCACGGGATAAAAGAACAAGCCCTGGGGGGGGGCGGAGCGCTGCACAAGATGGCGGACGCGATTTAAACTACTCCCAACCGAACCCCTCCAAAATCTTTAAAAATAAATCATTGCCTGCAAGAAAAACGAAAAACCAGGATGGGAAAACCCACAAAAGGACAGGCAGCAAAAACGAAGCAGCAAACCGAAACGGTACGTGCCTATTTTACGAGAAAAGCCGCGAACAGCTCGATCGTTACCCCAACGCCTGAGGGAAACAACATGGCGACAGGCGGAGAAGGAGATAATCGGAACAATGCAGCGGCGCTCAACGATCCGATTACGAAAAAAGACTTGCTGGATTTAAAAGATCTGCTAAAATCCTTTACAACAATGATAGCAGAGATCGTTCATCCCCTCCAATCTCAAATGAACGACCTGACTAAAGAACTTTCGGAAACAACGAAGATAGCTGAAAACTCAGCAGAACTAGTCTTGACTCTGCAGGAGGAGCAAAAATCAACACAAGAGACTGAAAAACATTTAGCATCCAGACTATCAGTGTTGGAACAGCGCTGGAGACCTATGAATTTAAAATTCCGAGGACTGAAAGAGGGCGTAGAAACAGGTAAAGATGTTGCCCATTTTTTATTTGCATGGCTAGCTAAAGTCCTAGAACTTGAGGAAGGAAAAGCCCCAATAATATTAAAAGCATATCGGTTGGGCCCACTTGCCACGGCGCGAAAAGGCCGCCCAAGGGACATCATGGCACAATTTCTATACTCAGCTACAAGAGACAAAATATTGCGGGAGGCCAGAATTAAGGGTGGACTGCAATACAAGGACGACAATATACAAGTACTTTTGGATCTCTCGGCAGAAACACTAGAAAAACGGAGATCCCTCAAATTTGTTGCTACCAGATTATTTCAAGAACGCATAAAATTCAGATGGAACCCAAACTCAGATCTACAGGTTTATAAAAATGGAACTTTACATCATGCGACGGATCAAGAAACAGGGAAGGCCTTATTAACAGCACTGGGTCTGCACCAAACTTCAGAAGAAGATCTTCCCACACCTACTTGATTTACACACTACAGCCAGTTAGAAGACGCAAGAGAACTCTATTTGATTAAGGTTATGCTGTTATAATGTCTACTTAAGGTTTGAGCTTCACAGCATATATAAAGCTCTTGATATCTGAAAAAATCGGAGCTTACAAAGGTCGGTTTAAAAATTGGTATTGCAAACAGTTCATGGTTAATTGATGGTTTAAAAATGTTATAGTTTTCAATGAAGCAAAAGTTGATAGATATTATTAAAAAAGACAAAGCAGTTACATTAATTATGTTGATGCCAGTTAATACAAATTGGGTATTTGTTTAAGCTTAGAAGGCAATTGATAGAACCATTGCAGACTTCACTGGAAAACTGCATATTTAAAGTTTAAAAAATCTTATTAGAAACAAAGTTAATTACGAAGTTCATTGTTTATAATAAATGAATAATGAATCAATAACATATAAGAGATCTTATGAAAAGTAGAAACAAATGATTATTCCAAACAGTTTGTGTTATATATAGAAGGGTTATAGTCTGTGCTACATTGCATATCACTCACTTACAATAGTTAAAAACTATGTTATTGAGAGTTGTTATTTATTGTTTTATATTTTATATTTTTACACTTCTTCCCAATTAAAATACAAATAATTAATGACTAGTTACAAGGGAAAGGGAGATATATTCGAGTATGGCACGCCTCGGGTTCAAGTCATTGTTGATCAAGACATAGACTAATTGTTAATATAAAGTCACAGACACATAGAAATTCATTATGAACATTATAAGAGAAAAATAGGCAAATGCACTGTAGTAGAAAAGTATGAAGGTTTTATAAATACATTATTGAGAGTCCAAACGATTATATCAATATGCATTTATTAATGATTGTCTTTGGATACAACATAAAGCCACAGGTTCAAGACTATTTAACAGTATATGTACAATATGGCTTTAAAAAAAAGGGAAATATTATACATTTTGATATAGATCAGTTTTATAAGAACAAAAATGTAATGAATATTAACAAATAGATACAACAGACTAGTTTTTAGAAAAGAAGAAAGGAGGGGGGGTTGGAGGGAGCAAAAAATTTTTGTTGTCTGTGGAACAAGAAAAGATTGTATTTTACCCCCTAAGATAGTGTACGATCCTTCCTGATTGGGAGACTTTAAACAGTCACCCAGATAGTTTATACAGGAAGTGCACCCTTTAATAGAAAAGGGTAGTTTGAGGTTTAGTTGTTTTTATAAGAAAACAAAAGTTAATTGTTGTGTAAAGCTAATATTGCTTTACAGTTTTTTTAGTTAAACAGTTGTATTTTTAAGATGGCTCGAACGTTAAAAATAATCACATGGAATGCTAAAGGTTTGAACTGTAGGAAGAAACATTATAAAATCTCATCTTTTGGGGCCAAGCAGCGCCCAGATATCTTATGTTTGCAGGAAACGCACCTGAGGAAAACAGCAAAACAAGTTCTCAAATCATCCTGGTTTGACAGACAATATCATGCAGCTGGATCGTCAAAATCGAGAGGTACAGCCATTCTCCTGTCCAAAAACTTTCCATTTCAACACACACACTTACTAAAATTGACCCCAGGGGAAGATACGTATTTATTAAAGGTTTTTTAAACGGGGACCCACTAACTATTGCATCAATATACGCACCCAATACTGCCCAAATTGATTTTATAAGAAACGTGATTGAAATGTTAATGAATTTTAAACAAGGAGAATTGTTGATTGGAGGTGATTTAAATTTTATTGTTAACCCCAAATTAGACTGAACGTATAAACGTAACAAAACAGGCAAAAGAAATGTAAACACAGTTAACACAGAATTAGATAAAATTTTAAGACAAAATAATCTAGTAGATACTTGGAGAGTTATGCACCCGAATGATAAAGAATTCTCTTTTTATTCACACACACAAGAAACGTACTCTAGAATTGACTATATACTAGCTTCAGTAAATTTATTACCCCATTTCCAAGATACAGAAATTGGCTCAATAACACATTCTGATCATGCATGGATTAAGGGTTCAAAAAAGGAGACAACAAGGGGCCAAATTGGATGTTAAATAAACCTTTCATACTATCAGACAGATTTACAAAAGAAATTGAGGAGAAAATCAAAGAATATTTCCAGAACAATATCACAACAGAAGTAAATCCAATAACGATATGGGAGGCGTTTAAAGCTGTGTTCAGAGGTCATTTAATTTCGATAACTTCTTACTGTAAAAGAGAAAAACAACAATTAGTAAACGATCTCCAAAAATCTATTAAGGACCTAGAAACAAAACACATGCGTTTTGGCGGGAAAAAAACACTGAAAAGATTAGAGCAAGAACGCAAAAATTTAGAACTTTTGGAAACATCCAAGGTACAAAAAAACATATTATATCTCAAACAAAAGTATGTTACGAGAACATCAAAATCTATAAGGCTATTAAAAAATAAAGTAGAAAAAAAAAGATTAACATCACTAGTCCACGCAGTGAGAAATTCAGAAGGTAAGGTACAAGTAACATCAGATAATAGAACAAAGGCCTTTAGTGATTACTATCAACAATTATATACCTCAGACCAACCAACTCAGAAATCTATACAAGACTATTTGAAAAATATTGGATTTAAAACTAAATTATCTGAAGAACACCAAACCTTTTTAGATCAACCTATTACTCCCATAGAAATTAAACAGGCAATGTCAAAAATGAAAAACAATAAAACCCCGGGAAGAGACGGAATCCCCATAGAGTTTTATAAAAAATTTCAACTTACCTTGATTGAACACCTGAATTCCACCCTCAATTACATTATGCAAAATGGTACAATACCAAAAACTTGGTCTGAAGCCCGCATAATAGTCCTTCCTAAGCCAGGAAAAGACAAAGTATTAACATCTTCATACCGGCCAATATCAATTTTAAATCATGACTTTAAAATACTGTCAACTATTATGGCCTTCAGACTAAATAAAATAATAACTAACTACGTACATGATGACCAAAGTGGCTTTATGCCCGGTCGCACAATAGCGGACAGTATAACAAAGACACTTAACATAATAAATCATTGTAAGCAAAATAAAATAACTTCAATTGTACTATCCACGGATGCCGAAAAGGCCTTTGATCAGGTGGAACCTAAATATCTACAGGAACTTCTCAAGGTCATGAACTTTGGCCCATTATTTCAACAATTAATTAAAGCGTTTTATCACTCACCATCGGCGCAAATTTGTGTGAATCATTTTAGATCCGATGAAATTTACCTGACAAGGGGCACCCGCCAAGGTTGTCCCTTGTCACCCCTATTGTTTGCTCTGTCTATAGAACCTTTGGCACACGCAATCAGAAATGATGTATACATACATGGAATACACATAAATGGAGAACAATTTAAATTGAATTTGTATGCAGACGACGCAATATTTTACTTGACAAAACCTGAAACATCACTGAATAACATAGTACATCACTTGGAAAAGTTTGGAAATGTTTCAGGCTTCGCTGTGAATTATAAAAAATCAGAAATATACCCTATTTACATTTCTAAGGAGCAAAGTTTATCTTTGAAATTGAACCACAAATTTAACTGGGTATCTAAAGATTGGAGACACCTGGGTATAAATATTCCATTACAATTAACAGACTTGTATAAATCCAACTACATTCCTATTATAGCTCAAACTCAAATAATGATTAATGATTGGAATAAGTCAACATTGAATTTATTAGAAAAAATAAACTTAATTAAAATGATATTGCTGCCAAAAATCTTATATTTATTCCAAAATTTACCAATCCCAATCCCTAACAAAGAACTTAAAACCTGGAAAAAAATGATAACAAATTTTATATGGGATGGGAAAAAAGCTAGAATAAATTACAACACACTCACCAAACCCTCAAAACTAGGAGGTTTAGGACTACCGGATTTTGAAAGTTATTTTATGGCAGCACAACTTAGAAATGTTCATTATTATTCCTTAATGACGTGATAAAAAATGGGTTCAAATTGAAACAGTGGAACTAAAACACAAACCAATAAGTGAAGTGATTTGGAACACACCAAAACAACAAGAGATATCGAAACTGAGGAACCCCTTCTTAAAATACACATTACAAACTTGGAATAAATTTAGAGGTGTCTTGGCACCTGGCGTTTCCCCATTGAATTCTATCTTTGGCCAACCTTGGTTCACCCCAGGCTTGGACAAAAATTTTATGTTGGGTTATCGAGAGAAAGGAATGCATAGGATTATAGATTTCATACTTAACAAAAAAATAGGCTCACAGCAACAGACAGAACAAAAGAGTGAAATTCCCCTTACCTGGCTGACATACTCCCAGCTGCATCATATGCTGACAGACTTACACCAAAAGGCTGATATTTTTAGAGAATTAACACCATTTGAATTATTTCTAAATAAACAAGAGCAAAACACGAAAAAATTATTAGCAAAAATTTATAACAATAAATCAAAAAGCATGGACTCAATCTTCCTCTATTAAAAATGCCTGGCAGAAAGATTGTGGAGTAACATTCACTGATGAGCAATGGCAACAAATACTAACCTCAGGTATGTTTACTAGTAGACACCAAAATTTGAGACTTCAACAGTTCAAACTCTATGCCCGCTGGTATCTTACACCAAATCGATTATTTAAGAGTAAATATAAACCAACACCGCAGTGCTGGAAGGGATGTGGGGAGATAGGTGATTTAAAGCATTGTTGGTGGGCCTGTCCTAGAGTACAGGAATTTTGGAAACAAATCATAAAGGAAATTCAGAAAGCCACGGACTGGGAAATACCTAACACGCCAGCATCAATACTACTACATTACTGGCCGGGTCTAAAAATTCCTAAATATACAGAGGAAATTATTACATTGTTATTAATGGCGGCTAAGATATTGTTGGCACAACTATGGAAAGAGAAAAGGGTACCTACTATTTCAAAATGGAAGGCGAAGGTGTGGGACATAATTGTAGCAGATAAAATTGTGATGCAGTTAGCAGCGATAGATAATCCAAAAGGTCATTATAATTTCATGGGAAAATGGCTTAGTTTCTTCCAATACCTTACGGCAACTAACCCACAATCCTTTGGGTTACCACACAAGTATAAAGAATTTGCATTTTATTAAGGAATTAAATGTTTTGAGCCAACTGTATGTTTAACTGTTGTATTGAGTTAAAGTTTTTATATGTTTATATTGAAAAATTTAATAAAAAATTATTTACAAAAAAAAAAAGAACAAGCCCTTTTGTGGATCAAAAGCTGGCTAATTAATAGGAAACAGAAGGAGTATAAATTGGCCATTTTCACAGTGGAGGATTTTAAGCAGTGGGGTACCACAGGGATCAGTCCTTGGTCCGATGCTTTTTAAATTGTTTATTAACGATTTGAAATTGGGAGTAAGCAGTGAAGTGGCTAAATACGCAGATGACACAAATTTGCTCAGGGTGGTGAGAACCAGGGAGGATTGTGAGGCACTCCAAAGGGATCTGTCGAGGATCGGTGAGTGGGTGTCAATGTGGCAAATGGGGTTCAATGTGGCCAAGTATGAAGTGATGCACATTGGAGACAAAAATCCTAACTATACATAACACATTGAGGGGTTTCGAACTGGCAGAGACTGACCAAGAGAGAGATCTTGGAGTTGTAGTAGATAACTCAATGAAAACGTTGAGACAGTTTTCTGCAACTGCAGTAAAGAAGGCCGACGCTATGCTGGGGATTATTAGGAAGGGAACGGAAAACAAATGAGCCATTTACGGCCCTGTATAAATCAATGGTGCAACCTCATTTGGAATACAGTGTGCAGTTCTGGTCACCACACCTTAAAAAGGATATTATAGCTTTGGAAAAAGTGCAGAAAAGGGCAACTCGAATGATAAAAGGGTTGGAACACTTTCCCTATGAGGAAAGGTTAAAGTGCTTAGAGCTCTTTAGCTTGGAGAAACGACGACTGAGGGGTGACATGATTGAGCTTTCTCCGGTGGTCCAGGAGTGGGGCAGTCCTCCAGACTCCTTACTCCCAGGAAACAGCTCCTCTCCTCCGTAAAGCAGGGCCGCCAGGCTCTTTTGGTCACGGAGGGGAGGGGCTTGTGCTCCTGCTTCCCAGACTATCCGGCCCTGCCTTCAGAGCAGGAAGCTGCAGACTGTGCTCTGTGGAGCACACTGGTCACAGGAAAATACTTTGAAGACAGAAGAAAAGGGGAAGGAGCAGGTAGAGGACTTTCTAGCCTGTTCTCCGCCCCTCCCTTCCCCTCCTGTCGGTCGGCTGCTGGAGCAGCTTGCAGGCTTTCGGCTGACGTGGACCTGGGAGATCCCCGGGGAACAGCGCAGCTGCAACGTCTCCCACGCCTGGCTTCCAGCCTGAGGGGACTGGTTAAGCTTTTTTCCTGGAGGCTGCAGGTTGCAGAGAGCTCCAGAGGGCGATGGTAGAGGTTCTGTCTTGCCTGGAGGCACAGATGCGGCGCTGCTGCAGAGGCCTGGGCAGACAAAAAAGACGATCGGTGTCCCTCTGTTTTTTCCCCGCTCTGCAGAGAAGGAACCGGTCGCTTCAGAACGTGGTAAGATCGCTCCTGGGGGCAGGGGAACTACAGGAGGATGGCGTTTTTAACCCCCTCCCCCGTTTTCCCCCCTCTTTGCCTGGTTCCCCTCATCCCCATTGTAGTTTACTATTGGGGGAGACCTCTGGAGTCAGGAGAATGTGAGTTTGGGGGGGGGGGCTGAGATGTAACCATTCTCTGTGAAGAACCCCCCCTTCCCCCCGTTGGTGCTTTATATATATATAGAGAGGGGGGTCTTTATTTTTGGTTGGGACTGGATTATGTGTCCTCCCTTCCACTCCACTTCCCCCCCCCCACTAAGGAACTCCTTTTCTAAGGACTAGCATGTTCAGAGGGAAAGGGAAAGCACCCTTCACGTGGGGACTTAATAATTGTGGGAAATGGCCATTTTGAGTGATCCTGCCCACTTTCACTTTCAGATTTTCCTCACAAAATGGCTGAAAAGGCAGGGACATCTTCAGGCCAGGGACTGCAGGAGGACACTTGCACCTTTGATCTGGCTGATTCCCCCTAAGTCCACAGCCTCCCACACAGGGACCTCTGCTGGGGATGACTCCCAAACTAATCTCCTTTCTTGGATTAAACTAGAGATGAGAAAAGAATTTAGAGCTTTGTGGCAAGAGTCCCAGAGCGCAGCTAGACCAGCAGAGGGATCTTCTGTGAGCACCTTAGGAAATAAAAGACACCTGTCCAGTGATTTGGAGGAGTCTATTCCAAATAAAAGCAGAAAAAGGGATACCAAAACTAATAGAGAGCATAGTCCTCTGATGAGTGGCCATGATTCTGATTCTGATTCTGCAGCCTCTGAGTCTCCCAAAGAAGAGGGTGAGCTTTCAGATGAGACAGAAGGGGTTGTCCCTGTAGTTCAATCTAAGCCTTTCCCTCAGGAGCTTTATAGTAAACTCCTGCCTAAGGTTATTAGAACACTGGAGTTATCCTACACCCCAAAAGAACAGGAAGAGGAGGACTCAGAGTTTCCTGTAGGTTCTGAGAAAACCATGCCTAAGACTCATCTTAAACCAACAGGAGTACCTTTACCAGCTGCCATCTATAAAGTGATGAAGGCAGAGTGGGAACATTCTTCCAAGCCCAAAGCTACTGCTCCTGTGTTTGGAAAGATTTATTCCCTTATTCCAGAGGCATCAAAGCAGCTCAGGCTTCCAGCAGTGGATGATCCTATCAACAGTCTGGTATCCACATCAGTGCTTCCTGTGGGAGCTGATGACCTTCCTAAGGACAACAGCGACAAGCGCATAGCGCAAGCACTGAGGAGAGATTTTGAAGTGTCCACAAACGCTCTCAGAGCCTCAGTTACAGGATCCCTATTTGCGAGGGCAGCCTACGCTTGGGCCTCAGATCTGGCCAAGGCAGATAGTGGCATACCGAAGGAGCTGAAGGATGAATTTAAAAAAAAAAAAAAAAGATTGCACTGGCCACAGCATTTGCGGCGGATGCCACTCTCGATGCCGTTCAACAATCAGCTAGAGGAATTGCGTGCAGCGTCACTGCTAGGCGCAATTCTTGGCCACGTAACTGGGACGTAGATCTATCAGCACGTACCAAGGTAGTGGCGGTTCCCTTCAAAGGTACTAACTTGTTTGGTGATGGCCTGGGAAAAAATTTCTTGTCAAAGACAAGGATGAAAAGAAGGTCCTTCCATCAAAAGAAAAAGGATGGGAGAGATAGGAGACGACAGCAGTCCTTTCGGGATGTCAGAAGGGAGTTCAAGCCCGGCTATACTCGGTCCTTCAGAGATAAGTGGCAGCCAAAATCCAAAGATACTAGACATCAGTCCTTCCAGCCTAAACAAAGGCACAATGCTAAGGGTCCCAAAAAGGGACCACAAGCATGACTATCCGAGACAAACGATGCAAACAGAAGTTGGGGGCAGGCTTCTTCTGTTTGACAACATTTGGCGAGAGTCTGTCACAGACAGGTGGGTTCTAGACACGGTCTTGAGGGGATATGCCTTAGAATTCAAGTCACTCCCTCCAAAATCGTCTCCTGGAAACGCCAAAGAAAAGATCCAGAGACAAGCACTCTCTGCTGATGCAGGCAATATCCCACCTACTGGAAATAAAAGCGATAGCACAGGTTCCAATCTTGGAGAGATTTCACGGCATCTACTTAATCTTATTTATGGTGCCGAAGAAAAACGAAGAGTTCAGAGCAATATTGGATCTAAAATGGCTCAACAGATCGGTCTTAACCAAAAAGTTCAAGATGGAGACGGTGAAGACCATCTTAACCTCCATTCAGCAAGGGGGCTTCATGGCCTCAGTAGATCTATCGGAGGCCTACCTACATGTGCCAATCAGGGAGTCTCATCGGAAACTCCTTCACTTTGCCTACAACGGGAGTCACTATCAATACCGGGCCCTCCCCTTCGGTCTAAAATCTGCACCCAGAGTGTTCACCAAGATACTGGTATCCCTGGTGGCCTACCTGAGGACAGAGGGTGTGTCTTTATTTCCATACCTAGACGTCATTTTGGTCACCCCTGTCTTTCTTCAAACGAAACAGGCCTTGGAGATCACCTTGACAGAGCTCGAACGTCATAGGTTTGTCATCAACAGGATAAAGAGCTCATTGGTTCCAAGTCAGTCCATCCTACATCTAGGAGTGCAAATCAACACAGAAAGGGACAGGGCGTTCCTCTCTCAGGATCGCCAACAACAACAACAAAAAATACGTCTGTTGACACAACAAGTTCTGGAGACACAGAAAGTGGACATTCTAAGTCTAGTGAAACTTCTGGGGATGCAAGTGTCCTGCCAGAATGTCCTCTAATGGGACGTCAAAAGATTTTTTCTAACTGGTGTGCAGTAAGACATGTTGTTCCCATGGAGGCACCTTCGGGGCTGATCCTCCTATTCCTTCAAGAAGAAGAAGAAGAGATTGGATTTATACCCCGCCCTTCACTTGGAGTCTCAGAGCGGCTTACAAACTCCTTTCCCTTCCCCTCCCCACAACAGACACCCTGTGAGGTGGGTGGGGCTGAGAGAACTCTGACACAAACTGCTCTTCCAGGAACAGCTGTGCCAGAGCTTGTGACTGACCCAAGGTCACACCAGCAGCTGCAAGTGGAGGAGTGGGGAATCAAACCCGGTTCTCCCAGATTAGAGTCCACACACTTAACTACTACACCAAACTGGCTCTCCGGTGGTCCAGGAGAAGGGATGGATAAAGGGTTAAGCACCAGTTCCCTGCGTAGACAGGTGGCAGCCATTTCAGCCATTAAGGGGGCTGGGAAAGGGCGGTCTTTATCCGGTCACCCACATGTCAAAAGATTTTTGAGAGGGGTATCCCTTCTAACCCCCCCCCCCAGGTGCACAGATTCCCGACCTGGAGGCTCAACACGGTCCTTAGGGCTTTGTGTGGGGCACCATTTGAACCCATGGCCACCTGTCCCATCAAAGAATTGACCTTTAAAACGGTCTTCTTAGTAGGTTTTACTTCTGCAAGGAGGGTCTCAGAATTGAGAGCTTTGTCAATAAACAAGGATTTATGCCTTTTCCATAACAATAAGGTAGTTCTGCGTCCTGATCCAGCGTTCATACTGAGAGTTAACTCAACTTTCATAGGTCTGTGGACGTTGTTCTTCCTTCATTCTGTCCGAATCCCCAGAATGAGAAGGAACGAACCTTACACTGTCTAGATGTACGAAGGGCGCTTAGGTTCTGTCTGGACAGGACCAAATCATTTAGAACTCATGATTCGCTCTTTGTTTCCTTCAAACAGTCCGGTATGGGCAGAAGGGTATCTTCGTCCTCCCCTAGCAGATAGGTTAGGGGATGTATAGCTTTGGCTTACTCAGCCCAGGGTCTAGAACCACCCGAGGGC